TTTTCTTCATCACAAAGGGGGGGTTGAACCGCTATTTGTCTGATCCGTCGCCTAGGACCTGTTTGCCTTGGGAGACCCTACCAGGGGCGTTAAGCCCCCGACAACATAGCTCCTAGGTTCATTCGGATACTCAAACCCCTCCACCACGTTAAGGTTGCGATTCAAGGAGAGGACAATTTAATTTAATTTACAATTTAATGCATTTTTTTTTATTTATAGCAGTGACTGGCGACCCAACAAATGTCTAATCTGGTCGCTCCTAAGACAAGAGTTACACAGAATTGTTTTGTGTTTTGCTTTTGCATTCATCCTGTGTTTATAATCTAGAGTATGCTCATATAATGTAATAAAACTTTATAATATACAGTTGCAAGAAAAAATATGTGAACCCTTTGGGATTACTTGGATTTCTGCATACATTTTTTAATTTTTTGTGCGGTATTAGTTTAATACCGCTAGTGATGTGACATAGATGAAGATCAGAACATGACCAATTTATGCAGAAATCCAAGTAATCCCAAAGGGTTCATTCATGCTTTCATGATGAAAACATTTTAATCATTCACTGCATTTCTTGTAGTATTTTGTGTTAAGTTAAGTTTTGTGTTTCTTCCTCAGGAGTGGGGAAGAGCAGTCTCCTCCTGCGATTTGCAGACAACACATTTTCAGGTGTGTGGTTCTACTTAAGCAAATGTTATTTTTTCTGCCAACACTGTTAAAGATGTTGGTCTGAGTTTTATTTTGCATGTACATGTGTTTGCAGGTAGCTATATCACCACGATTGGTGTGGACTTCAAGATCCGGACTGTGGAGATCAATGGTGAGAAGGTGAAGCTACAAATCTGGGACACAGCAGGACAGGAGCGCTTTCGCACCATCACCTCCACGTAAGTAGATTTATTCTTATTTTATCATAAAAGTTTTTTACTTATATTCTGAGGGAGTCTTAACACCGTGACAGGGTGTTTGTGTTCCTGGGGTTATGTTTATTTAGAGAAACCAAGTCTTTGCTGCTGTGTGAAAGTAGGTGGAATTCCCCACAAATCCTAATTACAGATGTAAAAGGGAGGCTCCTGGTCTCACTCTGTAGAACTACATCGAGGGAAAGGTTGAGCGGTGTTACCCTGTTTGGCTTGTATGTGTGACATATGTCCTGTCTTGAAACCATGTGACTTCACACTGATTTTTTTAATTACTTTATCTGCATCATTCTCTTTTATAATTAGTAGTTATAAGAAGTAGTAGTAATGAGGATGAAAAAATAGTTTGGTTCACCGTTTTCCAGCTTTCCTGTACTGTATATTGTTTTTAACAAAGAATGGATCTAATCCTGAAGAAAATGATAATTATTAAAGAAGTTTAGGTTAGGTTTTGTTTATCATCATCTAACAAAAACAAACGGCAACTAATTTTCCCTGTTAGTTCAGGTGGAAGGAAAAAGCTGCTACACCAACTCCTGTAATACTACAACCAACTCATAGATTAGTGAAGTCATTGCAGTTATATATAAACATCAGTGCACAACCAGGAATAAAACTTAAAGCAATGTTTTTCAACCCTGTTGTATTGACCACACATGTGGTCACCTGGAATTCAAATGGTGTCGCCTGAAATGTTTAGTAATTGAATAGAAAATTACTGATAAATATTTTTAATCAAATAATAGGTTGTAATCAAATGATAGGTTGACTGTAATTATACACGTTCCAGACACTCAGCCTGTCTAACCAAATTTAACCATCTAGCCATGTGTTAATGTTTGTCCCATTCTGTTAACCTCGCTGAGTCACAGTGCAAATCAAACAAGTGACTGTTGTCTTCACCAAAACAGAAATACTGTTAACAACAAAAAATACAATGACTAGTGTTGAGATCATTTTGCTAATGAGTCAAATAGAATGGTTTGATATACAGTAAATGTAAGTTATTGGTCATTGAAAGAAGCAGCAGCTGCTGAATTCAAGTCTTAGTCGAGTACCAGCAAAGAAGCAAAACTAATTTTTAGTGTTAGAGAACAGTTTTGGTGGGGCGAAGTCATTTTTTTATGTAATGACAATATGATTAATGTTCAATTTCTATTACAAGGTCTTGTGCTAGAAAGAGGGCTAAAGAATGTGTTGTGTTTTTCAGGAGATATGTCCTTTGTAATTGTTTCCTGCTGTCATCATGTGTTCTCCATGAATGGAAACTGTTTGGCAAACGTATAGTAGGAGCTAATTTTTCAATGAAACACTAAATTCATTAACAACAGAAATTAGAGTTGCTGTGAATTTAAATGATTTGTGCCGAGGTAAAATTAAAGAGATAATTAACCATTAATCCAGATTGCTCCGTTGTTTAGTTTGTTCAATGTGGCGATTCTTGACTTTCACTTTGTCCTTCTGAAAACCCACATTGTCCAGGCGAATGCTTCTGCTGCTTTTTAACCAAAGCGTTCTTCACTGTCTGATGGCAACATATGTTTTTCTGTCTCATCCTGATGGCAGCTGTCAAACTGATTGGCCTCTACTGCTATTCGCCCTGTTGAAATACAAACTTTTGAACTCTGCAAATTAATTGGACTAGGTTGATACTGCAGTACAGAACTGACAGTTGTCTGACAGTAATTTTGAGATCTCTGAAATAAAGTGCTGTCACATTTATAGTATGTAGCAACTGCATCATCTGAGCAGCACAGAGGGAGAAAATCTATTTTTGTAGATAGAGACCACAAATGAGAAACACTAAACTGTTCCTGTCTATATGTCGTCAGCTTTGTCCTAGATACAACCAGGAATACATTTTCTTTCACAGTCTACTGACACCTTTGTGAGGATGATCTGAACACCAAAATTATCTGGACAGCTTTTTTTTGAAGGTCTCTGCAGTGGAGCCGCTGCTGTCCAAGAACAGTGTGACACTGCTGCCTGCAGGAACATGCAGGAATCCCTCCACCATGCAGGCAGCATATTTAGGCTTACAGAAGGAGGCTGACATGTTGCTGAAGGAGAGTGGCACGCTGCCTCATTAGGTCCTAAATGATTTTCACTGGGGGAGATTTAGCGTGGACAGAGAGAAACTCAGAACACCGTTTACGGTGACTCACAGCTGCCATTGCACCATTACCCAGATCATGTCACAGCATTGGAGAAGATTTCAAAAGTTCTTTGAGCAATATGATTTTATTTAGTCTTTCCTTAAATACATGCTAAAGTGTAGGAACTCGTTACCCTTCCATTTAGGTGTATACAGTATATTTAGATCTTTTGTGACATACTACAGTATATTTATACTTCTATACCACTATATCTCTGCTCCTCGTCCCGCTCTCTCCTTATCTCACCATCTCTTTCTCCTGGACTGACTACATACAACATTTGGTTTTTACAAACAGAAATGACGCAGGTGTTTGTTTAAAAAATAGAACTTAGAAGTTGGAAGTATGGAGAGACACTGGATATTAAAAGCAGATACAAACACAACCATCTAGTGGCACAGTTTGTTATACCATTCTTAACGGAGTCATTGTTCCTTTACATTTACTATTACATTTTATGAGGACATCAAAGCTGCATAATGACTTTTGTAATTGTAATAATGTGATGCTTCCTGTCCATTTTAAATGGCCTTTCAAAAAAAACTTTAAAGAATTAGACCAGATCAGTTTACCTTCTGTCACTTTGATTGACAGTTGGAGGAAAACCTTTTTTTTGTTCTTTTTTTATTGGCCTGTTTCAGCTGTTTTACTGCAGCAAAGGTGACTGCAGCTTGACGCCCACATGCCTGTGGAGTGCATTTGTTAGGTCTCTTGTGTGTGTTGAGCACACACACACACACACACACACACACACACTGCACAAGTATACACGTGTTCATTCAAACCCATTGTTTGGTCCGTCGATACTGCCGGACATTAACAGGGACAACCCTGTATTGTACGCTTATGTCTCATTAGCAGTAATGACTCTCATGAAGACACAATGTGTCCCCACATTATTGATGTAACCTTCAGCTTTTTTATACTGAGCCAAATTCTGCTATAATTTCTAAACTAGCAGGCCTCAAAAAGTTAATTGAGACCTGCTAAAATGTTTTTCCTGTCAACATGTCCACATAGTATTATGGCCAAACCAAATATGTTTTCAAAAACCTACTAAAGACTCGCAAAAAAACATTTGACCCCTGACAATAGGCACATTGTTTGTTATGCCTTGTGCTGTTACAGGGAATTCCTCTCTGGTGTCTTTTTCATACACCTACATGCTACATGCTGCATTTCTTATTACACTTTTTGTTTAGTTTCAGTGTGTCATTTTAACCTGGATTGTGTGTATGTCTCTGCTTCTCTCAGGTATTATAGGGGAACACATGGAGTCATAGTGGTTTATGATGTCACGAGTGCCGAGTCCTTTGTCAATGTCAAACGATGGTTACATGAAATTAACCAGAATTGTGACGACGTGTGTCGAATATTAGGTGAGTCTTTCCTTCCAACAACTTCAGAAAAGTCAAGGTACTTTCCCACAGTTGGAGAAAACTCTCAGTTCTGTTTTGTCATTTCTGCATCTTTTTTTCCCCAGTGGGAAATAAGAATGACGACCCCAACTCTAAAGTGGTGGAGACGACTGATGCACAGAAGTTTGCTGAGCAGATGGGAATTAATCTGTTTGAGACGAGTGCAAAAGAGAACATCAACGTTGAAGAGGTAACTCACTCCCTGTCAAGTCTTTGGCTTCAAACTGTTTACAAAACTGTCAGCACTTCTTTTGTGTGTGTTTGTATCTTGAGTTTTCACTTACTGCCTAAATGTTTTGTTATACCTGATTATGAAGGTGTGTGTGTGTGCGCGTGTGTGCAGGCGCTGAATCACTGAATCAATTCTTTTCCTTTCAGCTTGTCCCTTTTTCAGAGGCTGCCACAGCGAATCGTCTCTGCATCTGTTTCTCTGACTCCAATTATCTGCATTTCCTCCCTCACTGCATCCATAAATCTCCTCTTTGGCTTTCCTCTTTTCCTCCTACCTGGTAGCTCTATCTCTAGCATTTTTCAATGTATCCCTCCTCCACACATGTCCAAACCATCTCAATCTGGCTTCTCTGGCTTTTTCTCCAAACCTTCCTGTCTGTGTTGTCCCTCTAATGACCTAATTCCTGATCCTGTTCATACTTGTTACTCCTAAAGAGAATCTTAGCATCTTCCACAGTCTCCTCTGCTCTAAACAGTTGATCCTACTTACTTACTCTAGTTTTTGCTGCTGCCTACTCTCACTACAGATCACAATGTCATCTGCAAACAACATAGTCCATGGGGACTCCTGTCTGACCTCATCTGTCAATCTGTCCATCACCAGAGCAAACTAGAAGGGGCTCGATCCTTGATGTAGTCCCACCTCCACCTTGAAGTCTTCTGTCCTTCCAACAGCACACCTCACCACTGTTGTACTATTCTCATACATGTCCTGCACCAATCTAAACTACTTCTCTGCTACTCCTGACTTCCTCATACAAAACCACAATTCCTCCCTTGGCACTCTGTCATATGCCTTTTCTAAATCTACGAATACACAATTCTCTGTACTTCTCCATCAGCATCCTCAAGGCAA